TCTTCGTGTCAAAATGCTTCTATTGTTTTTTCTTTTAATTGTACTTCCATATGTGTGCAGTGTGCATAATTGCCGGGTTGTCACTGCAAAGTGCATGTTTTTGATTGGTTTACTTTTTGATACTTGAAATGCATTTGTACTGTTGATAATATGTGTGTCTGTCTGTCCGTCTGTCTATATAGTCTGGTAACGGGATCCCGCTGTAATACCTTTAATGTTGGAGGGGTTTTTTGTTTGTTTTTTTAGATTTTGGGAAAAATTCAAATTTGGTACATGTTACAACAAGCGTGTTGCATTAAAAGGCATTGGAGCTTTAAATAATCTTTTATTTTTCCCTCGGGAGGTCACTTAGTACATGGGTTGTTTGCAGCAAAAGTAGGAACCAATATGCCAATAGTGTGCCACTTGCAGCATTGGTGAGGCAGAAAACGTCTCAAGACAAGAAAAATCCTCGTAATAAGGAGCATGTTGCTTCTAACAGTATCTATGTTCACCCCCCCCCCAAAAAAAAACATGACATTGCCGATTCACTTTGAATAGAAAGTGTGTAGGTTCCATCGTCTTTTCTATCTGAAGTTGTCTCATCCAGAGCTGCTAACAAGCTAGTTTTAGTTCTATTATTGATACAAGCATTCCTTGACTACGCTTGACTGTGTACCGCGATCAGAGCATAAAAGCGACAGAGGAAGAAGGGCCCAATGGAAGTGTTAGTGTTTCTCTGGAAATTCGGCTTGATGAGGACTTTTCTCACTGCAGCCCTTCAATCTTTTATTATTGTGCTCAGCGAGTTATTCTCTTTTAACTCCTCGCACGTGCTTGATCTCGCTAGAATAGTGAAGAATGCAGAACAATGTAAGCTTTGGCACAAGCCCCTGCAAGACTGTAAAATTTGCCCCATAGGAAATAATGGTACCGGTAATTTATTCAGTCTGTTCCTGGGTCAACCTGTTGCCATTACCAATCTTTATTTACTGCGCAGGAAACTCATTTCACAACCAGCAGCAGTTTGGCACTTAGCGAGACTTCAAAAAAACAGCTTTCAAAATGTTTTTTTTTTTGTTTTTTGGTGGGGGGGGTGCCACTCGCAGTTGAAGTTTACTGTCAAACTTAACATAAAACAAAGAAATTTACATGTGAACCAAACAACATAACTGCCTTAAAATCATAATAGGAAACATTTGGCATTGGTGTCTCGGTGTTAAAACCCTTCACGTAATGGAGATTATTTACGTGTGTGTGTTTGTGTCATACATGTATATAAACACAAAAAATGTGGCAAATTTGGTATTCATTTAACATTAAATGAATATCATTACTGATTCTTTTTTCTAAAATGCGATATTATAGCGTGCAATGTGGAATACATTCCACAAATGTTTTTTTTTTTTTTAACCTTTATTTCCATCACTCCTGTGAAACAAGCCAGAGAATTTTTGCAACTTCTGAAGCGTTTTCTGTTTGTTATTCACCATTTTCTGAATCGTGTTAAAATTGCCATTGTTGTTATGTTTTCGTTGAGATTCCATTTGGTTTTGTTCCCTCGTGCCCTTTTTGTCGCCACCTGTTCTCGTCATCCGGGTCCCTTGTGTTAACCAGTCAGCTCCCTCAACCATTTGTGTCTTGTTCAGGTGTTTCTCGTTGACTCTTAGTCCCTTTGTCTCGTTGTCACTTGGTTTGTAAGTTCCCTGGGTTCTGTCAGTCTTGGTTGGATTGTGTGTCTGTGTCCCCCTGTCATGTTTTGTTTCTGTCATAGGTTTTTGTTACTTGGGTTTTCTGTGGTTTTCAGGACTTTGTTTGTATACTTCAGTTAGTTTTTCCAGTCTACTCCTGTGAGTATTTTTTTGCGAATACATTTTGCTCAGTCCACCCTGCTTTTTGGGTTCCTCTACCTACCACCTCGCAAAAGTGACAATTGTATTTTTACTATATTATTGTTGAGTGTTTGTTCACTCTATGCCTAATTGTAAAAGCCAGTGAATGATAGATAACACCCAGCACTCTTTGAACCCCATAAAAAAAAAATTTAAAAAAAACGTGTGAAGGACAAAAAAAAAAAAAAAATCACCTGCTTCATTTGATATTATCTATTTATTTGTACCATTAGCAGCTTTTGGCGCAAAAAAGCGTGAAGGAGATTTTTCTGCTGGAGTCTTTCCAGAGGCAGATTTCCTTGCTTAATCTCCCCCCACACTTTTTAAACCCAACCTCATCTTGCTGTTGTGGTCGGCGAAGGCTCATGTGGGCTCCTGCCCGAGCGCCAGTACCAGCTGTGACCCGCAGTGTTAAGCAGATGAACTCTAACGTGTGTGTGTGTGTGTGTGTGTGTGTGTATGTGTGTCTGTGCGCGCGCGTGCCTGTGTGTGTGTGTGCACTCATACCGTTGCACATTTGCATGTGTTTGGCCTTACATTTACAGCTGTTGGGCAAACATTGCGATTGTTTGGAATCTGCGTTTGGTCCTTTGACATGATTTTGACATTTATGGAAATAAAGCACTGTGGGAGGCCATGATTGAATTTGTGTTGAATTTTCTCAGTATATATGACGTACAGTAGGTTATGGAAGAAGTGGCAACTGGTTGATGGGGTATCTTATGGTGTCTTAATATGTCTGTGACTTTTTTGGGTCCAACCCTGTTTCATACACAAGCGAGTAACTGTGTGGCCTACCCCACCACATATGCTGCTGACCCAATGGGGAATTTGGCTTTCAATATCATGGCAACCGGTGGGGAAGCTTTAGCCTTATGACTAGAGTGGCTTGGACTTGGGGGAACACAGCCCAGTGGGTTTTTGAAGCTAGCAGCCAAATACTAATTTGTGTGGGGGGCGGGGGGGGTGCAGCTCTGCTTACCTTTATGGCTTGACATAATAGGTCAGGGGTGTCAAACTCATTTTTGTCATGGGCCATATTTGAGTGACCGTTTCCCTTGGAAGGCCGTTATGACTCAAACCATATCAAGAAGTCAAGAAAAACGGTTTATTCCACTTTTGTTTCAGTTACTGTCATGACGGGTTTGGTTACAAGAAAATGCTTACAATATCATTCTTATTTATTACAGATGAGAATTTCAAATTTCGGTACAGATTTTAGCTAGCATCATGAAAGTTGACATGTTTGATTTGCTTTTGCGGGCAACATAAAATGAGGTGTCGGCCGGATCTGGCCCCCGGGCCTTGAGTTTGACACCTTTGTTATAGGTAGTGCGTTCCACTGGTGAGAAATGGGGGTGTTTCTGCTGAATAGGTCCTCTGGGTGATGCTGTTTCTGTCAGTTGCTGAAAAGTGGCTTTGGATCTTCTCGTCGTGTAGCTGACCATTTCATGGGCAAACAATATAGGGGCCTCTTATGTAAGTTAGAACCCACATTTGTGTAACAATGGGCTATTTTTGTGGACAGCTTTTACTGTCACAACATTGGATGTCTACTACTACCTTAATGACGAAACGCACCCATGTTCATCTCTTTAAATAATGAGCACCCCCCCCATAGATTTAAAAATATAAAATGGCCTACTTTGTCAGTTAATCCAGCTTCAGTCTCAAGCAACCGGAGCAGTTTTGTGACACAAGTCTGCTGTGGTGCTTTGTACACAAACAGCTCACGCAAAAGGGAAGAAACTTCACAAGGACTTGAAGTCAATGAGGCGTTGAAGTGCACAGTGCACTAATGAACAACTAAAAAAAGTCTTGCATCCTCCTTCTCCTTCTCCTCCTACACTGTGGAAGTTTTCAAACCGTTAGTTCCAAGCAGGGAGTATCATCTCCCTCATCTTCTTTCCTCGCTGTGTAATGGGTGTGTCCCTGAAGGGGCTTTTTGTCACCACGAGGGAGGAAGGTGGGGGATGTGTGTGTGTGTGGGGGGGGTTTGGGACTCACATGGCCCTCAGGCGGCCTTACAGAATCTTTTCCAGCTTCATGCATGTAGAGTATTGATTGATCACAAGGACATGTTGTTACGCTCATCTAGATAAAAAGTTGTTCCGCTGCAGGCAAGTAAAAATGTCTGTGCTGATTTGATTTAGGTATTTTGTTTGCCTGCTGGGAAGAGAAATATGATGTGCAGCTTCACTTTCCATGTGCCCCCTAGTGTGGGACAGAAGAAAGTCACTTGATTAGGGTGTTAAAAAAGTCTTCTGTCAAGTTTGTGGTTCTTTCACAGCGCCGGAGAACTTATTTGACCATTTTACTGACGCTTTTTGGGTGTGATAGTCCAATTCTGTCTCTTTTTTCATCATAAAGGAGATTTATTGTCTGAGATAAAAGCCGGGGAGGTATAAAAGTCATTGTTCACAACTGTCACGTTGGCTAGAATTCCTCTGTCTTATTTTTATTGCCGTCACCCCATAAACGGGGGTGGTGCGAGAAACATGAAAGACATGATGATTCATTTTAATTTGACTTAAAAGTGAAATTGAAAATATTGATTTGACTTAATATCGTATGGCAACCAGTTCCACAAACAAAACTAAGTTAGTTGTTGTCTGTGTGTTTATTTATATATTGAATGTCAAGTGCTGGCTCACAGATGCATTTTTGTAAATCGGCAGACAACCAAAGATTTACTGTGTTGTTAAATTTCATACTTCAAGGGGGGAAGGCAAGTCAAAAATTGTCCTCACAATAATATGTTCTATGCGCCCCCAACTCGTCTAAACACGGCATTCTGATGAATATTGCATTTGTGGAAGATGAATTCAAGCAACAAAACCCACCCGTTTTCATCCATCTCAAGGGGCGGCCATTTTGACGACTGAAAATGACATCACAGTGCCTAACGAGCGTCACGGCTCACCTTCTGTCTGCGCTTGGTCATGTGACTCTCGCAAGCCGATGCATTAGTTTTTAGTCGCTGTTAATACTGTTTCGTCAGAAACACCATTTTTGGCAGCCATGTTTTGATTGGTGTTCCGGTTGGTTCTGGAAAACATTTTTCCTTTAGAATTTCAACGTCTATTTCCAGCTCATTGCCACTGATTTTTTTTCTTTCCTTCTTTGCAGATCCAGCCGTGCATCACAGGCAGAAGACAGTGGTGACTGACATGTGCTACCCGGCAGAGATTTCCAGCCTGATGGACTTCGGCTCTCCCGACTGCTCGTTGGGCAAAGGTACACGCTCGCCTCCGGGATAGAAAGAGTGAGCCAGAGAGGCGTCGCCTTGGCAACCATGTGTGCGGGGATTTATCAGGGTAGTTAAAGGAGGCAGGAGGGAGGTTAAATCAGGGAGCAAAGGTGTGTGCCGGCCACCATACACAACACTTCAGGCTTTGGATGTTGCAGTGTGCCATGTGAGAAAAGCCTTTGCACTTTGAAAAGAAGTAATTGCACTGGAGTTACATCAGTGTGGCTGCTAATTTTCTTCATATTCACAAATAGGATTTAATTTCTTTTTTTTTTTTCTTTCTTTTTTTTTTTGCATCAAAGCCTGTGTGATAATTACATTGACCAGCATATAATTACCGTATGTATGCTCGGTGAAGAGATACCCTCATCAAGCGCTATTGATCACACATCCATAAACCCATTGTGTCCATTTCTTGTGATTCTGCCCACAGGCTCCATCATTCTGGATGCAACATTACCACAGTGACATAATATTTGTTATAATGCTAAAGTATATTACGATAAAAAAGTGAGAAATTATGACCAGAATCAACTGTACCTTTACACATATATTTGTCTATAACATGATAAGCTCCGGCACATCCGCAAACCGAGTGAGGATAAGTGGTTCAAAAAATGAATATTGTTAAAGTCTCTTGAGATCTACTTCTAGAATATCAGAAAAAGACATTTGGAATTTCTGGTGGCACGGTGGTTGATTGGTTAGCACGTCCACGCCTCACAGTGCAGAGATGCAGGGTTCAATTCCGGCTCAGACCTTCCTGTGTGGAATTTACATGTTTTCCCCGTGCCTGCGTGGGTTTTCTCCGGGTACTCCGGTTTCCTCCCACATTCCAAAAACATGCATGGCAGGCTGATTGAACACTCTAAAATTGTCCCTCAATGTGAGTGTGAGTGCGGATCTGTGTGCCCTGCGACTGGCTGGCAACCGGTTCAGGGTGTACCCCGCCTACTACTGCCCAAAGATAGCTGGAATAGGCTCCAGCACGGCCCGCAACCCTCGTGAGGATAAACAGACTATGGATAAAAATGGATGGATGGATGGATGGATGGAATGTTGTAATTTCTTTGGACGGGGAAAAGGGGACAAGGGAGGAATTTTAAAGGGCCAATATTTTAACATTGTGATTTGTTAGGTTTGACTTTATATGAACCTTTTAGTTTATGACAACGAAGTACTAAAACGGGATAAAATTATCAGCATATTAAGAATGCAATAGAATTATAATATCCTATGTATTTATGGAGAAAGAAGTTTCAATATGTAAAAATTTGGCTCTGAATTCTTCTCAGTCCTTCGCCGGCTTGCAATCAAGAAGTTAGCTTCTCTTCCGTTGCCATAGAAAACCATGATTTAGTGCCCTGTAAATCTTGGTGGACATGCGAGGACACCTCCCACTTTGCGTGAGCACCAGCTTCAGTGTTCATGCTACTATTCAGAGTTGTGCACAGTGTTTGTACACAATGCAAGACCGAAGTAAAATTTAACTACTCCAATCTGGTTCATAATTAGTCTGTCATTGCCATGGACAGCCTGCGGGATCGACTTTAGTGGTTTGTAATGTTGATGGACTAGCCAGGACACATCCCATGTTGTGTTAGCATTAGCCGCAGTGCTAACGGCACTTTTTCTGACCTAATCTGTGCGGGGTTTTTTTTCCATTCCAAATGAGGCAACATTGTGTAGGTAATCATGTGACTCAATGTTAATGCTACGCTGGTTGGCAATAAGATGATTAGCATCCTCTGTCATTGCCATGGCAACCCCGCATTACCTACTATCGTGGTCTAGCATCCTTTGATCCATTTTCTATACTGGTTGCCATCCTGACGCCCGTCAGAGCGTTTCCTTTTTGCCTCTCCAGTTCCATTTCTCAGCTACAGGGAGAGCTTGAGAACCAAAAGAAATCTGCCTTGTGTGATTTATTTATTTTTTTTCTTTCCATCAAAATTTGGGCCTGCGATGTGCTTGACTATAGCTAATATTTCAGTTTGTCTATAATGCGGCTCTCTAGCTACGCTCCTCCGGCTCTGTTCATAACACAGACTGACAGTTCACCAACGAGGGCTTTTTTGACAACTTCTGCAGGCTTTTAAAAGTGAGCGCGGCCAATGAATGACACGCCGGTGCAGGGTGTTAAGCTGAAGGGAAAAAAGACAGCGAGAGAGTGGAAATATTGCAGTTGAAGAAGTGTCGGGATGAAAGAAATGAGCCTCGATGAGATTGAGTGCTGGAGGAGGAAGCCCACTTCTCCTTTTGACAAGTCTCGCTATTAAAGCAAAAGAAATTGTGTCTTGTTTTAATGGACTTGGATGACGTTATTGCAGCAATTTTCACCGTGTGTTAAAAAGCCCGAAGGGGACATATTATTGAAAATTGACTATTTAAGGGCTTGTATGGAAATTGTTGGATCTCTGTGGCGTCTGTCCACCCATCAAGCGAAAGTATTTGTGTTTTGGTGGCTGTCGTATGTCGTGCTGCCTCCACAAGTAAAAATGCTTTTATTGTCCTTACTGGAGACTCTGCTTCAGCAAGTAGAAGAAAACTGACAGCAAGGTGAAGAGAGAGAAATGATGGGGTGGGGGTTAATAGTACCATTCTTATGGATTCAGGAAATGGTCTAAATATGATCAAAGTGATCATTTTAAGAGGAAAAAAGTCACAATTTCAAGAATTAAATTAATTGAGGTATTCAGAATGTGCCGTCACAGACCACACAGAAACGTGTGATCAGAATGACACTATAGGTTGAACTGACTAGTCCCCAACCGTTTTTCAAGGACCAATTCATAGTAGTACACATTTTTCGCGCCTCCGGCAATCATTCGTCATTGATGGCTGAGTGGGGTGATGTGGTCGCTTGTGTATATTACCGATCGGAAACTGATCTGTGTGGCCGGTAACCAAATGGCCGACGGAATGATATGGACCACTGGACTAGTCGACTTACAGACGCGTCGACTTAAACGCTGCGCAATGACATCAATAGCTTGAAGTTGACTCAGTGCCACTCACGTGTTTTGGCATTTACTCTTTGGGTGCCGTTGATGTGAAATGTCATCAGGAGTCGACTATAACAGCATCGACTATAAAATGTCCGAATTCTTTCACAGTCATACAACAGAAAATGGAAGTTATTGTGAGGTAGGAAATTGCTCCTCCTGATACAGAAACACGACACACATCTTTTCGAAGCGGTGTGAAAGATTCCTTTGTTCTGTCCTGTGCTGTAATAGCTCTCGGCCATCGGGTGGCGTCAGTGTGTCTCTGACTCACCTGGCTCGTTGTCACCTGAGTCTTCAGGTGCCATTTCCCCTCCCCCGCCTCCTCCTCCTTCTTCTTGTCCTCTTACAGGAGGAGGAAGGGTGACTTGCTGGGTGTGTCCCTCCAAACACACGCAGAACAAGAAACGCGCTCTCAAAGGACCACTTCCTGGTTACCTGGCCTGTTCTGGGGCGGGGACTGGGCGGTCGAGCGCTCTCACACGGGTGGCGTGTATGGTGTGTGTTGAACGTGTTGCTCGGTGTGTGTTTTCGTGTTTGCTCCCATTTGCTATGAGAGCTCACGCTGACGGGCCTGACAGTGGAGCCGAGCCGAGCCAGGGCCGACGAGGCCATGAGGTCTGACAGGGAAGAGGGCAAGGCCGGTGAGTGAGACACACACACACACACACACACACACACACACACACACACACACACAAAGTCCAGGCTTTTTGGTGTGTATGCGTGCATGTGTGTGTGAGCCGAGACTGGAGTGAGTTCAAGTTCACAGCGTCATTGTGAGCATGCTGCAGTCTCGTGAGTGGTCACCGTTTGCTTTTTGGCTTCGTGATTATATGTTAGGTGTAACCATTGCACCACTTTCACTTTGCAGCAAGGTATCATGTAGGGATGATGTCGCTGTTATTGAAATGAGTGTAATATGAACAAAAACAGATGGAGTTTCTCCAAATGATTTAGTTAAGTCTGGAAAAACACCACCAACAAAAATGGGTATCAACTAACAATATGGAGATAAAGGCATTTTATTAAATAGCAATTTTATAATTTTGTTTTTGTTTTTCTACTACATTGGCAGTCACTGGAAATAAGTGCAGTATGTCACTGTCTGATTTTCAAAGTTTTTAATTTTTGTGACAATTAGCATAATTCAGCATTGTAACATTTTATTTTGGAATATATCTTTTTTATTTTTATAAACATAATTGGAATTATTTTGTAATTATAACAGAAAACGTTTATTTTACTATTTAGTGATTTACATCTGTTTAAAAAAATAGATTGTTGAAATTACATTCATTGTCACTGCATTTTATTTAGTTGTGCTTTGACTTCAGAGGTGAATTCATTCTGTGAACGCACTCATAACTCAAAACACACACATCTAGAATCAGGGCAATGCGACACAAGAAAAATCTTTCCGAATTGTCATTCCAAGGCTTCCAACATGAATATCAGACATTGGTTTGTGGCAGGAGAGATCACTCGTTGTCATGCGCCGACCTAGATAGTTCCAATGGACGACGTGCTTATCGGTTAATCTGGCGCAATAGAATGTAAGCATGGCGCGCAAGCGTATGGTGGTATGAGGATATGTTGATAGGAGCAGGCATAAGCACGTTCACATAGTTTGTGTTGGATAACATGCTGGGATTTAATGCTCTATAGGCAACGTGACAGTTCTATCTTTGGTACAGATATGTTCGAATTGTGGATTACTTGGGGATGTTTAGTGGAATTAAGATTAAGCGCCCCAGACACTCAACACTTTGGACACATTATTAGGTACACCTGCACAAGATGACGTCATCATACGAGCTGTGTGTCATCTCATTTGCATGTATGTTTGAATATGAATGATTGCAATTATTATTGTTATTAGTAGTAGGAGGTAAGTGGATTACATAGTTACTAGTAGTTATAGTATGTTGGCAGGTTGTTAGTGAGCCTGAATACATGTTTGTTAGTTGTTCATGGATGAA